CTCTGATGATCAGGCAACTCAGCTGGGATCGTCAGAGCTTGGATCGTCAGAGCCATTTAAAAGAAAAAAAGCCTCTGATGATTGTGCGGCTCAGCTGGGCATGGGAGGGGGGGCAGGGATTTTTGCTACCGGTTCTCCGAACCACCCGCCTCCATTGCTACCGGATCGGGCGATCCGGTCCGAACCAGAAACATTTCACCCCTGGTTTTAAAATATCTAGCCAAGCTATCCCTTTCTTCTGGATTCCCTTACTTTTTGGCCCTCTGGCAAGCTACTTAAGGACAGTCCCAGGGGTGGGTTCTACTTACCTTTACTACTGGTTCACAACGGGGCTGCCCACGTGCTCTTCTGCGCATGCACAGAAGCATTCTGATGACGTCGGGGTCGGTGGGCAGAGCCTCCCACCGGTTTTACTACCGGTTCTATAGAACCGGTGCGAACCACCACTGTACAGTCCTCAATCTAAACAAGATTGGAAATCTGGATATTCTACTTAAGGAAAATCAGAGAAAACTAACCGATTGACTTTTCTACATAGGATTATTTTCTCAGTCGGTAATGGATTTTTAAACCAAAGAGCCAAACTTCACGACTGATCCTGTCTTTTGTAGGTTCAAAGGCTGGCTTTGTTGAAAATGGTCACAAGTTAGGGAATCACAGCACGGAGGACAAATGGATAGGAAAGACATCAACGGGCACAGAGAAGAAGGCCCACAGTTTGTGTGTGGGTGCGTGTGGGTGCGTGTACGTATGTGCGATCTTCAGCTAAGCGGAGCAGGACGTGCAGTTTATAAGCAGCTGAAAATTACCCATATTTTCTGGGCACATGGCTGTATTGTCTACATGACAGAAGGAGGGGTTGCTAGCATCACCATTTACTTAGGTGCCGATGAAAAGTGTGAGGCTGTAGACCATATGCACTGCAATAGCACATCGGAATTGCTTGTCTTGCTGGTGGCATGATTGGGAAATGTGTAGTTGCTTCTCTGTTTACAGCAACACTGTTAACTGACTGCAAGCCAAACACTTCAGATTCTGCCTTTCTTGGGGATCGGCGAAGAGATGCCAAGAGACATTTTCTTATTTGGTTTCTTCGATATCTCATAACATTATTTCTGTAGGTGTCGTGCAGGATACCCAAGGAGCAGAGCAAAAAAAAAGAAAGAAAACAAAACAATACCAATCCAATCCAATCCAACCCATTTTTTAAAAAAATGGAGAAAAGATCCCAAATATTGGACTGTAATGAGAAGATCTGATTTTGCATAATAGATAAACAAATAATTCCCTCAACACTGTCAAACTATTCACTAAGTCTGCATTACTATTAGTCTTCTCATTGTTCCTCTCACCCATCTCCTCCCATTTATGACTGCATGGCTGTAACTTTGTTGCTTGTATCCTTACGATTTATATTGATTGTTTCCTAGTATGATTTGATTGCTTATTTGTTCCCTATGACTATCATTAAGTGTTGTACCTTATGATTCTTGACGAACGTATCTTGTCTTTTTATGTACACTGAGAGCATATGCACCAAAGAAAAATTCCTTGTGTGTCCAATCACACTTGGTCAATAAAGAATTCTATTCTATTCTAAAAAAAAGATTTTAATTATATAAATATTATTCACAAGGATAAAATAGTAAAAAGGCCAGTAAAAATGTAAATGTTTTTTTTCTCGGAACTAAAAAAACTAGCATTTTGTGATAGTGGAGAAGATTCTTTTATTAAAAGTTTTTTTTTAAAAAAAGATTAAAAATGATGGGTGGCAGGGAGGATTCTGTTGGGAAATCATTTTGGTACTGTAAAAGTAAAGGTAAAGGTTCCCCCGCACAAGTGTGCTAGTCGTTTCCAGCTCTAGGGGGCGCTGCTCATCTCCGTTTCTAAGCCGAGGAGCCTGCGCTGTCCGAAGACGTCTCCGTGGTCATGTGGCTGGCATGACTAAATGCTGAAAGTGCACGGAATGCTGTTACCTTCCCACAAAAGGTGGTCCCTATTTTTCTACTTGCATTTTTTACGTGCTTTTGAACTGCTAGGTTGGCAGAAGCTGGGACAAGTAATGGGAGCTCACCCCGTTAGGTGGCACTAAGGATTCGAACCGCTGAACTGCCGACCTTCTGATCGACAAGCTCAGCATCTTAGCCACTGAGCCACTGCATCCCTGTTTGGTACTGTAGGGCCCCCATAAAGAAAGCATCTCTCCATTTTTTGTGGTCCCCTTTTGGACACCAGAAGAAGACATTTCAGGAAGGGGCTTTGATAGATGTTCTTAAGATTCCAATAGATGCAAATGGGAGAAAAAGGTTCACACATGCACGACTAACACATAAACTGGCTTAAATCAAGGAGAAATCACAGCTTGTATACAGAATAGCATGAGTGGGCATCAGGTGAAACTGGGTTTAATTGTGTTTGTGGAACAGAACCCAAAATAGGTCAGAAGAGAACTGGTAGTATTCTCACAATTAGCACAGAATGATGACTATGGTACTGGAATGACTAAAATTGTTAACCTAGCCTATTGTTTCTATGATTTAATGGACAAAAACTTTATAACAGCTTTGCTTAACTAAAGCCAAGAAGCTGATATTTATGGGCCCATCTTGAAGTTATCATGACATATGGAATATTAGTTATTTATTTAGTAATTATTCTTATAAATAACTCAAGGTAGTGAACATACCTATTATGACTAGGAATGTAAGAGACATAAATATGTAAAGACCACACATTGACAATAAAACGAATGAAAGAAAAATAGATATGTTATGTGCTTATGAAAGTAAAACAAAAACTGGGAAGATATTGTGGAGAGAATTAATGGATACATTAATATAAGTTCCGTTAGAACTAGATGTATATTTTGTTGTTGTTAGTCACAGAGTTGTGTCCGATCCATCGTGACCCCATGGACAATGTTCCTCCAGGCCTTCCTGTCCTCTACCATTCTCTGGAGTCCATTTAAGCTCACGCCGACTGCTTCAGTGACTCCATCCAGCCACCTCGTTCTCTGCCGTCCCCTTCTTCTTTTGCCCTCAATCGTTCCCAGCATTAGGCTCTTCTCCAGGGAGTCCATCCTTCTCATTAGGTGACCAAAGTATTTGAGTTTCATCTTCAAGATGTATATTAAAAAGTACAAATTGGTGTCATCTACTGTAGATTGCAGTGAATATGTCTGAAAATAGGAATTCATAACTTGATGGTAGTTGCATGCTATGCTCTAATGAACGGTTTTAAGAGGAGAACTAGCTTATTTTGAGGAAAAATTGCACAATATTTTAAAAAGGTAATCTCACAAAAAATTATTTGGTTACATGACATGAGACGAGAGTACAGAAAAAGCATATGGAACATTCATAAACCCAAGAATGAATGAGATGAGGATTACTTCATGAGCATTTGTTCTGTTTGTTTTAAGCACAGTTTAAACATAAATCCACTTGTGTGCACATAAGATTGAATACAAATCTAAAACACGATTTTTCTCTTTCTGATAGTGGCAGGTTAGGAAGGGGTGAAAGGCTAAAGCAAAATTCTGAATGTGAGACAGAGGTGTTTTTTTATATATAGTTACAAGAGTAGAACTTTTGAAAAAATGGACACGGAAGAAAAAGAAGAAAGTGAAACTAAAACGATGGCAGGAAAAGATTGTATGGTGCCTATAGGGGAAAAAAATGAAGATAATTTAATTTTCCTATTGGATAAATGGAAAGGGGACCTAAGGAAAGAGGATGGAGAAGAGGGATTACAGAATGCCACCAAAGAATGGGGACTAAGCTAACGAGAAGCCCAAATAAGAGGGCATGGTGGAAGGATGGATTGAACAAGGCTGTGGATGAGAAAAAATGAATATCGAAAAGTACCAATAGAAGAAAATATTTGTAGCTCAGGATTGAACTTGGTGCTCTCTGAGCTTGATTGTTGTGACTCCCCTCCTGCGCAAGCTGCACTGGCTCCTGGTGGTCTTCCGGGTGCGCTTCAAGGTTTTAGTTACCACCTTTAGAGTGCTCCATGTCTTAGGACCGGGGTACCTACGAGACTGCCTTCTGCCACCAGTAGCCTCTCACCGACCAGTATGCTCCCATAGAGAGGGGCTCCTCAGGGTGCTGTCAGTCAAACAAAGTCGACTGGTGGCCCCCAGGGGGGAGAGCCTTCTCTGTGGGGGCACCTGCCATCTGGAACGAGCTCCCCCCGGAGATACGGAGGATCCCAGATTTGCGCACTTTCCGCCGTGCCCTCAAAACATTCTTATTCCAGCAGGCTGGTCTGGCCTAACCTCCCTTTTAATTGCTTTTAATGTCTTTTAAATTTGTTTTATAAATTGGGGTGTTTTAAATTTGTTCTGGGCCAAAGTATTTAATGTAATTTTAAATGGTTTTTTATCGTTTGTACTATGTGTGTTTTATCTTTTGGCTGTTCACCACCCTGACTGAGTCCTTCGGGAGTAGGGTGGTATATAAATTTAATTAATTAATTAATTAATTAATTAATTAATTAATTAATTAATTAATTGTTTCATTATTCAATTAGGTAATATTATCTGTGCAGTGATCATGTTACCTAGTTGAGTAATGAAATGTCTGCAAGAAAATCACCAAGCTCAGAGAACAAGGACCCCACAATATAGAAGAGTGTTGGAGAAATGAGACTAAAAGAGATCATGTTTAGAAAAAAAGAAAAGCTTCCAAAAATATGAAGAAGAACAAGAAACTGTTAAGATAGAAAAAAAAGCCAGAGAAAAGAATCATTTTCATTTATTTTTTGATGGAAATAAAAAGATATTTTGGGAACTGTGAGAAGAAATCACCCGCTGAACGAGTGGAATTAAAAATCAAAGGGATGAAATAATGTAGGAAGAAGCTGACATGAGACAAAGCTGGAAGGATTTTTTTGGGAGATTTATATGGGAGTGATTGTGTATGCTAAAGAGAGGAACAGAAAGAAATGCTTATAAATGCAACCATCCAGAACAATATGAAGAATACGAAATCATAAATGCTGTGAGAAAGTTGACAAACGGTGGGTTTTCAGGAAAAGATGATGTAACCGGAGAACGATTCAAATATGGATGTGGTTTCCTTATGGAGTGGCTGCTGTACGACTTGTTCAACATAACAACATGTTGTGCCTGACAGTTGGAAGAATGCTGTTATTGTTGCACTATATAAAGAAAAAGATGGCAAGAGTGAAGACAAAATAAGGGAAGGCTATCTTTTTAAAAGACCCTGGGAATGCATTTGACAGAATTTTGATTAAAGGGCTTGAGATGACAGTAAGAAAACACTGGGACACGGTTTTATGTGAAGCAAGAGATCCAGATCAGATTTTTGATCTTCAGTAGTCCATTGAGAAATGCACAAATATGAGAACGTTTATTGTATATTTGTTAATTTAGAAAAAAAGCAGGCGGTAAGTATGGAATTAAAGGCAGGTTACTGAATGTGACATATGTGGTATATACTGCAAAGGAAATAAGGCATGTGTGAGCATGAATTAAATGCTTAACAAATGATGCAAAAGTGAGCAGGGACTAAGACAAGGATGTGTGATATTTATTCTCTTTGCTGTTTAATATGTTCATGGATAAATGTGTAAGGAATAGCTGTGGTTATTTATTTATTTATTTGTTTCTCTATTTCTTTATTAAATATGTTTGCCGCCCTTCTTGCCACAAGGTGACTGGTGTATGTATGTATGTGTATATATATATATATATGATGAAAACTTTGAAGAAGAAGATGAATTTTGTGTAAAAAAAAGAGGGTGAAATGGAATAATTTAAGGTATGCCCATGTTGATAAAAAGGTACTTGCATGTTCTGCAATGAGGCATGACTGTTTGCCAAAAGGACATGTTGCAAGACCATGTTCCTGTCTGTCTACACTATTATATGGAAGTGAGAACGGGCAGTGTCAGGAGAAACAGAAAAATAAGTTGAATCTTTGAAGAATGAGGGACTTAAGTTCTGCAACGTAAGAGAGGATTAAATATTAAAATGTACTGAACCCATGCAAACGTGACTGACAAGGAGGAAAGAAGAACAGGGATATAGTTTAATCATTTAGAGAGAATGAATGAAAATCAAATTGAAAAACAAAAAAACTTTTTATTTTTGAGTTCTATGATTATAATTCTCTGTCCATCTGTGTGTGTGTGTGTGTGTGTGTATCTATCTATCTATCTATCTATCTATCTATCTATCTATCTATCTATCTATGGTATCTCTCTCTCTCTCTATCATCTATCATCATCTATCATCTATCATCTGTCTGTCTATATCTATCTATCTATCTATCTATCTATCTATCTATCTATCTATCATCTATTTATCTGTGGTATCTCTCTCTCTATCATCTATCATCATCTATCATGTGTCTGTCTCTATATCTATCTATCTATCTATCTATCTATCTATCTATCTATCTATCTATCTATCTATCTATCTATCTATCTATCTATCTATCTACCTACCTACCTACCTATCTATCTCATCTATCTCATCTATCTCATCTATCATTATCTATTGACTGATGGTTCATTTTTTTCATCATGACAGTGTTACTATGCCCGATGTAAAAATAAATCTCATTTATTTAAAATGGTTCAGAAGTTCCATTTCATCAACAGGAAAAATATTTTCTGCAGAATGGATTGCCCACAACGTTGGGTTGTGTCATTTCACCTTTCTGCTCTCCTGTCCCCTTTTCTTCTTCTTTAGCGAGGCATGAGACTGGGGTGGAACTCAACCAACTCTAAGGATTGTCACATCTTCAGAAAAGTGTTGTTTTTGCATGCCTTTTGCATTATTGCAACTGACGAGTCGAAGACACTGCCTGATGTTAATTCTGCGCCTGGCTGCCAATTATAATCAGAGCTAGTCAAAATAAACAAATTAAACAAATAAACATTCAAAACAGCTCAGACGTAGCAAAGAAAGAAGCCAAGACTGCAATCGGTGTGGCAGGAGAAACGTTAGGGCTGCATAGTGTAAAACGATCTGTTGCATTCTTCATCTTTGTCAAGCAAAAGGGAAGGAAAATGATTCTGAATAGAGCTGAGTTTCTTTCTTTTTCTGCTCCTTTCCCTCATAGGTATATTATATTGCCAAAGATGGAATGAAGATTATATACCTACAATAGAAGAATGGATCTTGAAACTAATGGATTAGCAGAGATGGCAAAATGGACTGCTTTGCGTAGAGACAATAACTGGCTAAATCTTTTGCATCTTTGTGATCATTGTTGGATTTTATTGGTGTCATATTATAATTATTACTCTGTTGGTTTGCATGTACATTGAGAGTTTCTGTCCTGGAGACAAATTTCTTGTATATCTAATCACATCAAATAAATTCTATTCCTATTCCTATTCCTATTCCTATTCCTATTCCTATTCCTATTCCTATTCTATTCTATTCTATTCTATTCTATTCTATTCTATTCTATTCTACCCTACCCTACCCTACCCTACCCTACCCTACCCTACCCTACTCTACTCTACTCTACTCTACTCTACTCTACTCTACTCTACTCTACTCTATTGAATAATTCAGTTTTGACTTGGGGAATTTAAGAATTAGATCTGATTTGACCAGATAAATATTGTGCTTTTTTTTTAAAAAAAAAAATATGGTTATTCATATTTGTCCATTTATTATGTGTTAGGCTAAAATTAAGAGAAGAATATAATGTGAATATTGATTTTTAAGAATATTTGTTATTATTTTAAGATAGTTGAAATATACTTATTAATCATTTACATTTGAGAGAGTTGGATATATCGTATTACTATCTCTGTATTGAAATAAGTTGAAGGTCACTTTTGTTGTATATTTGTTTGATGATTCTATTCTGTGCTGTGCTGTGCTATTCTTAGAATTAATAAGTGGGAGGGTACACCTAACCCTAATCTTGTGTTGGTGAACACTCTTGGAACAGAATATTAGTTCAACTCTCTGCTCAAGGAGGAGACCCTACGTAATTCTGGGCCAATTGGGCAGTCTCTTCTTGAAAACCTCTAGTGATGAAGCATCCACAACCTCCGGAGATAAGCCATTCCACTGAATCAGTAAGTCTTTGACTTATTAATACTAATTAATATTAAGAGCCATAAATAATAAATACAATAAAATAAACTGAATAAAATAAATTAATAAACAATTATTTATTATAAGCCCAATAAGTATTTGGTTTTATTTCACTGATTCAATAAGTCTTTGGTTGAAATGGCACAGTATTTATCTCCTTGTTTTTGTTTGTTCGTTTTATGTTTTATTAAATTTGTATACCGCCCTACTCCCGAAGGACTCAGGGCGGTGAACAGGCACAGAATAAAATACATAAATACGAAAGTTAGAAACAATTTAAAACCAAATTAAATAATTTAGCCCAAAACAATTAAAAAATCCCAATAATTTAAAACAAATTAAAATTTCAGTTTAAAAAATTAAAAAGAAAGGGGAGAAAATTAGGCCAGGCCAGCTTGCTGGAATAGGAGGGTTTTAAGAGCACGGTGGAAAGTGCGCAGATCCGGGATCCTCCGTATCTCCGGGGGGAGCTCGTTCCAGATAGTGGGTGCCCCCATAGAGAAGGCCCTCCCCCTGGGGGCCGCCAGTCGACACTGCTTGGCTGACAGCACCCGGAGGAGCCCCTCTCTGTGAGAGCGTACCGGCCGAACTGAACTGCTTTCAGTTAACAAACAACAAAAGCAAAAACCTTACACTTTGCTAACTCCTTGACTTCATTGCCTGTCCAAAATGAGATAAGGACAATATTGTATCCTGCTTTTCCCTATTCTTTTGGGCCTCTCACCCACTTCCTGCATGATCATGATCTCCGATCCATTGTTTGCAATCCAGTCCACCCTACCAGGATGAAGGGTTTGGTACCAAGTGTGAAAAGTCTTGATATGACTTGAATCTCTGCCCCAAATGAAGGCAACTGAAACATTATACAGTTTCAGCTGATCAAGGAAATAAAACTATATAAAATAGACTACCAATAAAGACTAGGATTATTTGAAACAGGCAGAACACTTGGGGGGATCTTAATTGTTACTGTTAAAAACTAGGGAAGGGAAACCCCACTTCCCTCCTGCTTTTTTATTTTTTAAGTGGTAAATTAACTTTAAAAATATGTTCTGAAGTTGAAGGAACAAGCTGTCATTTTGGACAGGTGGTTCTCATAAAGAGGCAATCCTTTACGGTGGAGTCTCAAAATGTCAAAAACTGCATGTCTCAGTGGAGATAAAGCTATAACGCAGGTTCATTGCACCATTTCTTCTGTTCTTTTTTCAGAGACTTTCAAACTCTCCAGTCCAAGAGTAGGATTTAGAAGGACCAAAAGATTAAGGGGTCCAGCCTCTCTTTCAGTATTATTTTACAGAGCTAGAATGCCTGTGCAAACTCAGTTTTACAGAGGTGCCTTTTTCCTATGGAAAGATCATGTAGAATTCAGCATAAAGCTTGTGCATCATACCAATCCAAGACTCCATTTTACTGCCCAAGAACAAGAATCCTGAACATTTTTGTTTTAAATTTTCTCAAAGCTTTAATCTTGCTCTCTGAGATCAGTTTTTCATAGTCGAGGTTAAGGGACTTAACGTTCCATTTAAAAGAGAAAAAAAATATCTGCAGTTAATGACATATTGTGGTTAAGAAACTAATTTTTTATTGCGTAGAAGGACCTTAATAGGTCTAAGCAATTCTATATATGACTAGCGTATGTACAAGTAAATAATGGATTAGGAATGTAACTGTAGGAGCTCGAAGGAGGGGGGTCAAGCATGTCATCAATCATAAGTCACTTTGTGCCCACAAGAGATCTCAGTCCGGCCCTCCTTGAATTCTTTTCACTCTTATCTACCACCAATTTTCCTTGACTGTTAGTAGTTCAGATTCTTGTAGAGAGTTTAAGATTGCTATAAATCTTTCTACTCATTTGAACTACCTGGATTTCCTGATTTTCATGAACGTGTGAAACTGCCTTCTCCAATATTTGGTTGCAGTCCCGGACTGCCCATTTTGATAGCCAACATCTTTTCCAAAATTTTCCAAAATTGCTGTCTATTTAATTCAAAGGACAATGATCTTTGGGGGCTAATGAGTTTTTGGAATTCTGGGAATTTGTCATGGTTGCTCTCACATCCGTGACTTTAATAGCTTATAACAGCTACTATAGAGTAAATCTAGCCAGTAACAGAAGATATAGTTACTAGAAGTCAAACTGAGGACTTCGTTCTTCCCTCTCTCTAGCCCAGATTCTGTTCTTGCTTTTATCCAAGTGTCTTTTCTCCTTCTGAAGAAATGTTTTATGATCACTATATATTTTTTTAAGTTACCTCATTAACTCTTCCAATTAGTTAGTTGTTTCACTTGGGACGTTCCTCAACCATGTTGGGGATCAGGATGAGAACTGAAGATCAATGGGTGGAGAGACAAACAACAGTGAGTGTCCAACATTAATTTTAGTAATAAATTTTGATACAGTTCTACAGAGGAATTATTGAGTCTGTCATCTGCACCTCTATAACTGTCTGGTTTGGTTCTGCAACCCAACAAGACAGACACAGACTTCTGAGGATAATTAGAACTGCAGAAAAAACAGTTGCTACCAACCTGCCTTCCATTGAGGACCTGTATACTGCACGAGTCAAAAAGAGGGCTGGGAAAATATTTACAGACCCCTCGCATCCTGGACATAAATTGTTTCAACTCCTACCCTCAAAATGATGCTATAGAGCACTGCACACCAGAACAACTAGACACAAGAACATTTTTTTTCCTAACGCCATCACCCTGCTAAACAAATAATTCCCTCAATACTGTCAAACTATTCACCTTAGGCTGCATTACTATTGCTATTGGTCTTCTCATCGTTTTTGTCGCCCATCTCCTCCCACTTGTGACTGCATGACTGTAACTTTGTTGCTTATATCCTTGCAATTTATATTGATATTGATTATTTCCTAGTATGATTCGATTGCTTATTGTACCATATGACTGTCACTGGGTATCGTGCCTTGTGATTCTTGACGAGTGTGTCTTGTCGTTTTATGTACACTGAGAACATATGCACCAAAGACAAATTCCTTGTGTGTCCAATCACACTTGACTAATAAAGAATTCTATTCTATTCTATTCTATTTGAATTCTTGGTTAAAAGGCCTTGAAACTATGACTTTTTCTTTTTGTTCCAGCTCTTTGCAGTTTAAATTATTTTCTCAGCATAGACTTTGAGCTGGAACCACGCAGGCAGCAGTTATGTGTATTGTTACCTTGATTTTCAGATGGAAGTTGCAAAGGACAATGCCTGGATAATACTGCCAGTTCTTCTGTTCCTTGCAATTCTGTGGTTGATCAGAAAATCCCGTGAAAACATTTGGTGTGAATTAGCCCCAACCCGCTATTGATTTATGTCAGGTCTTGTCTTACAATTTGCCTTGGGAAGGTGATGCTGAGCTCCACCTACCGAGACCCTCTTGGATTATTACTATTGCTGATGCCTTTCCAAATAGAGATCGCTGACAAATGAGCCAGGAAAATCTTTCCACCAACTTACAGCCTCTTCTGGTTACAAATTACGTTTCCTCCAAATGAATACTTGAAGCCAACTTCTCAGTTCAAGTAGTTTTAATCAATTAGTCCATCCTAATCAATTAATTGTAGAAGGTTTTCTTAAATCTGCATAAATGGATGATGAGTGAAACATCAGTTCTAATCAGTTGTTTTTAAAAGGTTTGCAATCAGTGTCTTCAACCATTTTTTTCTCCAGTTCCCAGAAAAATCTTGATAAATTTTTCACACAGACATTCCCGTGAGATAAATTTCTTTGTATGCAGTTCTCTCTACGTATTTTCCCACAATTTCTCCTAATATGTACATTTTGGCATATATTTGTAATAGGTACTCTACTTTGCAAAATTCACAAAAATATGGATTTCATCATACAATTGTATTTCAATTCAGCTCTAGGGTTTTGGAAGTGACAACGGTTGCAATACCAAGGTAATGTAACCAGAAACTGGTTAACTCAATAAACTGCTTAGAGAGGACTGTAAAGTGCTGTGAAGCAGTATATAAGTGCTATTGCTATATTGGTTATCCTATTGATGTATTTATTCTTCTTGTGACCCTTTGTCATTGTTTACTTTAGTGTTCTATTATTTTATTTCTGTTCTGTTTACATGCCTTTCCTTTTTCTTTTTATTATTGTAAAATGCCTAGAGTAACCCAATGGTGAGATAGGCGGCAAATAAATTTGACAAATAAATAGATGATAGATAAATAGATAGAAAATAAATAAGAGTAAAACAGTTATTATTACCTTGTTAAATCCTCATACCCACACACAGACACTCGTCTCTCTCCTTCTTTCTCTCTCCCTCTCCCTGTTCCTCTCCCTCCCTCCCTCCCTCTCTCCCTCTCTTTATTCTCTGTCTCTGTCTCTGCCTCTTTCTCTCTCTCTCTCTCTCTTTCTCTTTTTCTTTTTCTTTCTCTCTCTCTCTCCCCCCTCTCTCTCTGTCTCTCTCTCTCTCCCACTCCCTCTCTTTCTTTCTCTCTGTCTCTCCCTCTCCTTCCCTGTCTTTACAAAAATTTACAAAACTTCTAAAA